CACTCTCTCCCTCCCCCAGTTCGACCATCCCGTTTCCTTATGTTCTCATCCCCAATCCCCAGTTTACTCATGGAGATCTCATCTGTTTCCCCTTCCCAGGGCAATCCATGCGTCCCTCCTTGGGTCCTCCTTGTTTCCTAGCTTCTCTGGATCTGTGGGTTGTAGTCTGGTTATCCTTTGCTTTACATCTAGTATCCACTTATGAGTGAGCACATACCATGTCAGAAAACTACTCTTGTTAGAGTGGCAGGTGAAGAGCCAGAACCCCACAGGCAAGATGGGACAGGACGATTGATACACAGAGAGACTGAGCAACACGGTAGAGGACCTGAGAACACGGACCCTGTTCAGGATCTGCGTTCAGCTCGAGTCCAACCCTTACTAGCTACGTGCCCTTGGAAACGTTCAGCCTTTGTGCCTTACTTTCCCCACGTAGAAAACAGGAGAATGCTGGCATCCATCCATGTCATAGGGTCGATAGGAAGATCGAGTGGGCTGATTTAGGCAAAGCCTTTGCCCAGAGCCTGGATCTTCCAGGGCTGGCTGTTGTCTTTCAGCACCCAGCTTCGACGGGACTGGGCTGCATAGCCTGGCGATTATCAGCAGACTCCGGGGAAACCTGTGAGATACACTGTCTGTATGAGTGACTTGTCAGTCGCTGTAACCAAAATACCTCCCTGAAACAATTGAAGAGAGGAAAGATTTCTTTTGGCCTTCGGTTTCAGTGAGCTCTAGTCCAGCAGAGCAAGAAGAGCAGCTCTACCATGGCTCGGGTAGGGCATTACAAAGAAACAGTGGCGGTGGAGTGGCGGAAGCCAGGGCAAGCCTGCAACCTTTAAAAGCCTGTCCCCGGGGATCGATTCTACCACCTCCTAAAGATTTTGCTGCCCTCCAAATAGTACCACTAGCTGGGGACCACTTGTTCAAGACATGAGCCACTAAAATTGTAACACTGTCCTGCTCATTTGGTGCTGGCCCCATGATCGTGTCTGTGCCGAGGCTTTCTCGTCTATAGAAAGTGGGGGTGATCATAACAGTGCACCCCCCTTAGAAATGACATAGGCGGAAATACTGGTGCTTATGTGGCGCTGATAGGAAGTTCTTACTAACTGTCTGATTTCACTAGGCCCTGGTCCTAAGGAGCCCTGCGGGCAACAGGATCCCTATTTATTTAAAGAAACATCAACCGTGTAATATTTTCTTTTCTTCCCTCAGGTCTCAGGGCACTTATTTCTAAATCTTAGAAAGGGAGACTGAATTCTTGATCTTTCCTTTGAAGAAAACATCTCTGTACCATTTATCCCTTGTCTTCAAATCCTTTCTTCCACACTATGAAGGAAGAAAGAAACCTGGGGTTCTGTGCCTGCACCCCAGGGCCACACTCACCACAGTACTTCTGATTGGGACAAGAGGCCAGTTGCTGACACATGACCGCTTGCATCAGTTTGGATACCAGCTTAAAGCTAGGTGGCTTGCCTTACTCCAGCTGTCTTTGGCAGTCTTGGGGGACCTGGTAAAAGCAGCCCCCTCTCCGCCCCTCCCCCCTCCCCCTCTTTGTCTCCTTCAACTGACACTGCACGCTGAATGTGAAGAATAAGAGTCCAGTTTCTCATTGTGACCAAGTTTTGCTGCTGCCCAAGGACAAAGGCCAGATTGACACAAGATGAATGTCCCAGGGGGCAGGTCTCTTTTTGTTTTCTTTTCCAATTCTGTTTCTCTCCTGGAGGAGAAGGAATGGTAATTGGAGCACTTGTTCTACAACCCCTCTGTGTAAATATGTTCTTAGGAGCAAAGATCCAATGTACCAGACAAGGACCTTCTCCAGTCTAACCTTAACTCTCATATCGGCCGAGATAACAAGAGAAGGGATTGGGTGGGAATGGATTGGAAGAGCCAGAGAGGAGTGGAACCCATTTTGGCCTCTGGACTCTGTTCTGATGTTGTTGCTGGGCGGCTTGCTTAGCCCAGACACCAGTGGGACTCCTGTGTGGTGGCTCGGGAGTGTGACCTCTGTTCTTATCTGCTTTCGACAATGGATGGACTAGCGCTGCGCCTCAGTTTCTCATTTGTAGAATGGAGATATTAATAGTTCTCACTGCCTCTCTTACTGTGAGGAATTAGATAAGCTATGGAGAGCTCTGTAACAATGGGCCCTCCAAGGCAACCACTGGATCTCATTCATCTCTGTACTTTTTTTTTTTTTTGCCCAGCACAAGGTTTGGCTGAATATTTGGTACAAAATTAAATGTTTGCCGGGTGACTAAATTATTAAATACCAATAGCTTTAATGCAGCATAATTCCCCACATATGATACTCCATCTACTTTCCTCTTTTCTGTGGTTCCACGGCTATAAGGCAGGACTTTGTGCTTCTAGGCAAGTTCTCAATGACAAGCTATCTTCCCAAATTATGATAACTACCCAGGAATGTTGGCACATGATTGCAATCCCAATATTTAGGAGGAGGAGAATAGAGAAATCAAGGTGATTGGGGCTACACAGTGAGTTCTGGGTCAATCTAGCTATGTATCAAGGCCATGCCTCAAAAAGGCAACAAATAAACAAACCGAGTATGACACAACACGCCCTCTCGTCCCGATTAGCCTCTGTTTGTTGCTGCTCAACCTATAAGTTTCCCATCCTCTTCCCAAAGAGGAATGGAGAGCTTCGGTCTGAGGCAAAGGTCACCAGAACCACACTCCAGGCATGAAGTGAGGAATGTGAAGGGCTCACTGGGAAGTTGCCTGCACTGTTTTTCTGTAGTTCAGACAGCAAGCTATCAGCTTTTGGAGGACAGGGGCCTGAGACAACTAAACCAAGTGGGGTAGGAAACTCTTGGAGAAAGTCAACCAAAAGGAGGCTGGCCTGGGATGAGAACAGGGCGGGATGGCAGTGGGGAGTGGACCAAGAAGGGGCAAGGCAGGATCTGGGAACTAGTGTGGGCCCTGAAAGTAGCCTTCAGGGATGCCAGTAACAAGCTGGGGTTTCTAATAGACTCGGGCAGAATCTCCAGTCACCGAGGAGAATTGGTGCTAAGGGAAGCACAGTGCTCAAACAGGAAATTAAATATCAAGGAACTGCTCGTTAAAAGTTCAAAGCACCTTCCCACACATCAATCGGTGCCCTTCCCAGTCTCTGGCAAAACCGATAACTCAGCCCGCTGGGCCTGGGACCAGGTTTCACCCCAGCATTCAGACTGGTCAAACGGTCTCCGATCAACACACGAAGTGCCAGCTCTGGTACACAAGTGGAGTGGGCGAAGACCGCGGACCCTCGAAATCCACACCGCGTCTGCCACTGTGGGGGACTCACACCTGTGGTTTAACAACTTAGGAGCCCTTTGCTGAGGCTCCTCTAACTTTGACATCCCGCTCTCCAGCGGGCAGAGAGAACAGAACTCCCTCACTGGCGCCCTAGCATCCTTGGGAAGAGAGAAGAACCGCCGGTGACGGTCTCGGGAGCGGGGAGCGGGGCGAGGAGGTGGAGGGTAGAGGATTGTTTGTTTCCTGGAACACCCTGTTAAGAATCTCAGCTATTGCAGTCAGTGCCCGATCCTTTGGCAAGCAAACGCTGCTTCTCCCAGTTCCCAGCTGCACGGGATCTAATTCGCAAATACACCATCTTGCATTCAACACTTAAATGGAAAACAAGCAGCCTGGGAGGGAAGCAAACGGTCTCGCTGCCCGCACGTTTCAGAGGGATTTGTGCTTCCAAGGCCCTCTACTGGTCCCGTGCGGTCCGAGAACCGGATTTCTGGTTGGAGCCTCAAACTTGCAGAGCTCAGAGTCAATTAGCCCGAGGAGATGCGATCACCTAGGGCCTTAGGCTTTGTCAACATGAAACAGCAACTAAAACCTGGAAGACCTCAGGTTTTAAAAGGAAGATAACTGCTTATTCTTTCCACTGGAAACCTGGTTTAAAAAAAAAATTAAAGCCTCTCCTCTTCAAGGTAGCTAAGATTAGAGGGCTCGGTTTCCGTTTTCTGTGTTTCTATGGGCCGAACGCCCAGGCGGGTCAGCGAGTTTCTGTGTGTGGAATGACGAATTCCTCTCGCCTGAGTTCTAAAATGATAACTTAGCTCGCTGCTGCAGCTGCGAACGCCTGGCGCCAAGCGGCCCCGCGCGGGGGTGGCGGGAGGAACGGCGCAGGCCGAGGCCAGCGGGAACTTCGCGAGTGGCCCCTTTAAGAGCTTCACTGACTCAGCTCAGCTCCCCCTCAGGTCGCGTTTTTTATGAATGAAAAACGTCCTTACATTCATTATATAAACAAGCCGGTGCTGATTGGTCAATGGCGCCCAGCGCATAAATTATGTAAAACAGAGCTCTGGGGGCGTTGAAAGAGGCCGGCCGTTAGCCAATGGGCGCCGCAGTTGGTGGGGCGGCCCAGCTGGATTTGCCTGAAGACAGGGTAAACAAGAGGTGATGGGCAGCCGAGGGGACGACCGCGGACCAATGAGGACGTGTCTGCTCTGGGCCACGGGCCAATGGCGGCGGGCGGAGCCGGCGGGGGCCGGGCCAGTGCTGCAGCGGGTTGCAGGGCGGTGCAGAGTCCGGAGGCCGGCGCGCGGAGCGGTCCTCAAACCCCGATCGCTGCGGCCCAGCCCGCCACCGAGGCGCGCAGGCGGGCGCGCGGAGTGGCCACTCAGGTGCGGGCTGGTTCCGAGTCCTCAGTCGGGCGTGCCTGGGGTGACTCCAAGAGCTAGCCGTCCCCTCCCCCCGAGGCCCGGGTTCGGTTCGGTTCCTGGGAGGCATCGGGCGGGGGCGGCTAGCGGTTCCGGAGCGAGCGGAGAAACGGGTTTCCGTACATCGCGGAGGAGGCACCCGGGGTGCTGTAGCGGGTGCAGGGAGCGGGGTGCGGGGCGCAGGCTGCGGGAGCGGGGTGCAAGAACGGGGTGCGGGGCGCGGAGTTGTGGGCCCCCGAGGGCCCTGGGAGGCTCGCGAGAAGAAACGCTCCGCGACTCTTAGGTGGGAGGGGGGCGGGCAGCAGTTTCAGGGGTGCTTCTCCAGAACCCCGAGAGTTAAATGACACCGACATGTGCAGCCTGCGGATGGGGATTCTGCCCGAACTTCTGCGGGCCTGGCAAGTTGGAGACTGGGCAAGCCGACCCCCAGCCCCCTACTCCCTCCTCTGCGGGCTGAGGGTGCCGGGAGCCTCCTGAGCTGCGGCCTGGAGGGGAGAGAACCGGTGCCGAGACGGCCGAGAGTGATGCTGGAGCCTCGTGCAGGATTCGGGGTCTGGCTTGCACGGGGGGTGGCGGGGAGAGTGGTTGAGTAGGGGGTGATGAAGGAAGGTGTGTGGGGTCGGGAGTAAATTACAGGCAGTTGGTATCACCCAGCGCCGCACCTCGTTTCTGAATGTGGGTGACTTTTATGAATGAAGCAGGTTTCTTTCGTGGACTCCGAGCTTCCTGAGGCTTTTTTTTTTTCTCTCCCTTTTTTGTGAATGAAGCATTGAGTTTTTTTTTTTCCCCCTAAAACGCGGGGGTGAGGGGCCTGCGTCGGAGGCTAGGCGTGCGTTGGGAGTGGGGGCGGGGGCGCAGCTGAAGGAGTTTTCATGAATGGGAAGGCTGGGAATTGGGTGGAAGTGTGTCTTGTTTTGTGAATGGGGCCCTGCGCGAGGGATCCAGTTACAGCCTCTACCTGCGGTGGCGGCCGCGGCTCGTTCTCCCATTCATAAAACCAGGCCCGCTGCGCGCCTGGGGAGGGGCCTCGATCCGGTCGCTGCGCCGAGTTAAAGTTTTCCTGGGGGCACTCGGATTTTTTTTTTGGGGGGGGGCGACGACGACAACACAAAGGAAGTGGTTTAAAACTCCAGGATGAACTGGAGCCTTCCCTGCAGGCTTTTAAAAGATACTTTGAACACAATGTTTCCAGCCCTTGAACTCCAAGGGCTGCTTAGAAGGTCCTCGATGCTGCTTTTGGATTCTCTTAGGGCAGTTTCTTTTAACAATTTTTTCAAAAGATATTTTTGTGCATCATGAGATTCTAAAAATATTTTACCCTCTGGTTTCCTACACGTTGTCCTCTTACCCACAACAGACATTTAATAATTTCTTAGGCCACAATTTAATCAGACAGATTTTTTAAATACAGCACAGAATTCTTTCATGCTTCTTGACTCTTCACTAAGGTTTTTCAGATTTGGATACTGGTTGGTGACATGACCGGGGGGGGGGGGGGGGGGGCCTCATTCTGAAAGGTGTTTGCACTGTGTGGAAGGCAGGCAGGGGTGTTTTTCTAGGAAGTTGTGAACTCTCTTTCCTTTGACTTTGAAAATATCTGATTACTTGGGCCAAGAGCTGGCTGCGAAGGGTTTTCTTGTATCCTGCTCGCTTATGAAAATTTGATATGGTGTTCTCAGCATGAAAAACAAGTCAGATGGAAGGGCTACTGTGAAAAAAGTTACCCCAGTTTGTGTGCAAGTTAAAAGCAATTGCCACTTAGGCCTTTCTATTATTTAGGCCTGGGGTGAATGAATTATCATGCCAACCCCCTATTGTTTTGACCTGAGTTTTTAGTTGGAAAATTAAGTGTTTAGGAAGGTGACACCTTCTAAACTTGTTTATTAGCTCCTCCCACATTAGAAAAGTGTCCTAATTCTTTTGTTGCTCTCTCCCAAGCCCAGCTCTTAGCAGTGTTTGATTGTTTTTGTTGGGAAATTTGACTTCATTGTTCAGTAAAGGGCGTTTTCTTTCCAAGGATCTTTTTGCTTTGAAAGGTTTTTTTTTTTGGGGGGGGGTGCTTTAGTAGAGATGCATAAATAGTGAAGTGGAATGGAGCTTCCTTTATATCTTGCTCTTCTAGATGTTTTATTCTTTTAGAAGCTGAGTTAATGGCAGATAATCTTTGTAAGTTGCCATGGAGATGTTTATGTCATTTCAGGTCTACACACCTGTTTGGACAGAAGGTTTAGGTTTTAAATAAAGAATTGTGTGTGAAGAAAGTATACTTTTGATCATTTGTTCCTGGAACTGTACCGAGTGTTTTTTACCATAGACCCACAAATAGATCTACGAAATACTTTGAGAAACACATGTATCTTAGTTTCTTAATTGCCAATAATTTGGAATACTTAACACGCAGTTCTCTAGTTCTTGTTACTGTACTATCAAAAACTTAATTATCTTAAAAACAAAACCTGCAACAAATATGTCCTGGAAGGTCGTTTTACAATGAAAGTAAGTTGAGAGGCTTTGTTGGATGGTTGGTTTTGGTTTATGTGGTAGACAGGCAGGCAATACTATATATACTAATTTTTTATATATAATTTTTTTTGTCACTGCTAGGGATTAAACCTAGGGCCTTATGCATACTTATGGCTAAGTGTTCTACCACTGGAAAACATCCCCCAATGATCAAGTAAATAGATTTGGCCTAAGTGCCTAGTAAGCTTTAAAAACTTATCCTAAAAGTTTACACCTTGGGTAGGCTTTGGGAACCTCAGAGAGGGGAGGTGACTTACTGCTCAGGCAAGAAGGAAAGAAAGACCCCACCCGCACCACACTTTAAACGCCCAAATTCATGTTACAGGAGGATCTCTATACGCCCCCAGAAACTACTCAATGCTGAAGCCTTTCACCGTGGTACCAGAGACTTTGGAAGCACCATGGATGGGTTTTGTGATCAGCAAGTCCCTTTTATGGTCCCAGGGGTGAGTTGGCATCTGTGCTGTTGTGTTCTTGATCTCCTTGTGTGGGTCCTCTTCCTCCTGGAGAAGTGGGCGGGCCCCCACCCACCTCTTTTCTTGCATTTGAATCTTCATTTGTTGGCCTCTTTCAGAAATCTCGGTCAGAGGAATGTCGAGGACGACCTGTGATTGACAGAAAGAGGAAGTTTTTGGACACGGATCTGGCTCACGATTCTGAAGGTAGTGTAGCCTTCCCTGGCTGCCGTGGCTTCCTCAGATTGCCAGTGTGCTGTGTCCTGTGCTTCTCCTTAGCACAAGCAGGATCCTCGTTCTGAATCTTTTTTTTTTAATTGCAGAGTTGTTTCAGGATCTGAGTCAACTCCAAGAGGCTTGGTTAGCTGAAGGCAAGTTTCTTGACGGTGCTGTTCTTCATGTAAAACATTCTACTGTGCCTTTCAGTAAAATACAAAGATCTAAAACAGAAATCTCTTTTCCAGCTCAAGTTCCTGATGATGAACAATTTGTCCCAGATTTCCAGTCTGATAACTGTAAGTACCTTTCTGTTGCTGACACATTCCTTCTGAAATTGTTTGGTCTTGGATCGTTCCCATCTAGAATACGTTCTAAAGCGATAGCCAGAGGATTTTGGACATTGGTATGCATGTATTTTAATAATTTCTGGCTCTGTTGAAGGCAAGATTTACTCAACATAATTTCAATAAAACTTCTTTTTACCTTAAAAGCTTGAACTCCAGAATTTTAAGTTAGTTTACTATCTATGATCTTATGTCAAACATTTCCTTTTCTTTTTTTAGATCTATCTGGGGGTGGGAGGTGTGTCTGTAATGTGTGTTGGTACTTGCAGGGACCAGAAGAGGGTGTCAAATCCCCAGGAACTAGAGTTACAGGTGGTCATGAGTGGCCTTTTGTGGTTGCTGGGAACCAAACTCAGGTCCTCTGGAAGAACAGCAAATGCTCTCAACTGCTAAGCCATCTCTCCAGTCCCAGGTTTCTATAGATTATATATTTTTTTCAAATCCTCTTTTGTTTGTTTGTTTGTTTGTTTTATAAACTTAGTCTTTGAGATGAGCATGTAGCTCAGTGGTATAGTACTTGCCTAGCATGTACAGGGTTCTAAACTCAATTGCCAGCAATGCAAAAAAGAGTTATGCTTAAGGCAAAGCCAGTGTGATGAGTCTGCCATTTTTCTTCATTTGAAAGGTACAGCACATACTTAATGGAAAATTCCTGTTGATTGTGGTTCCACCTAACATGTCAATTTTGTTTCTTCTAAGCTAATGAAGGGTGGTCACAGAATGACTTGATTGGCTCTTATTTGTCACGTGGTTGCTATGACCTCACTGTTGAGAAGAGTAAAGCCTTTTTTTAAAATCGTCTTTGGGTGCTCATTCCTAATAAATGCAGTGAGGAATTCTACAATGGCTCCTCATGCTGGCTGAGCATAGTTAGCTTTGCCTTGATCTTCCTGGGCTGTCCTCAACACATTTGGGGGCTTTATGGTCCAGGCAGAGCTACCAAGGACAAAGCTGGCTGATGAAATTGGAGCAGCCCAGGGCTGCTCTAGAGAGCATTAGTCACTGGCGAATGAGCAGGTTTAAGAGCGGGCTGGAGAACGCTGCCTCTCTTGAGAGTTGCATCATAGAGAAATTCATGTCTCTTAGTCATAGTTTATAATAGCAAGCACCTGAGCCAGACGGAGTTGATTTCTCATTTTGCACCAACAGATTCTTCTCAAAGTTTTGTTTTTATCTCTAGGGTGTATGTGTGCATGTGTGTGTGTAAAAATGCCACTGGGAGAGAGAGTATTTGGGTCCGTATAAAAGCGGGGTATTCTAAATCTATTAGATAAAAGAACAGAGGTACCAGCTAAGCATTCTGTAATGATAGGCCTCGTGTTCAAGGCAAAATGCCATGAAACTTGAAAAGGGAATAGGCTGCAACCCATAGATGAATGGCTGCCTTAGCTTTGTCACAGCTTGCTGTGGAGATTGTCTATACAAAAGGAAATGCTTATTATTGCCCTTTGATTGCTTACAAGTGATTGGGGGCCTGCCATTGAAAGGCTAGATAGAGATAACTCGTGGGGGTGGTGAGGGGGCAGTGTTTTCAAGGTAAGAGGCAGAAGCTACTCAAGCTTGTGTAGGTCTTAGCCATTCGCCCAGCCTTTTCAGTTCTTCTCCAGAGCAGGGTAAGCTGCAGACTGCCTGGGAGGTGGCTTGCGTGGCAGAGGTTCTTTGAAACGCTTTTATTACAGTTTGGTTCTCTGTATCCTGAAAGAGTTAAAAGGGAGGTGAGACAGCTGAGCTCAGATTGATTGCCTGCTTTGCTTGTTAGTGGGGAAGGGCTGGAGGGGGGGGGGATGCCAGTGAGTGGGGGTTTCTATCTGCAGAGATTCTTATCTGTGGGAGTAGGCTCCAGCAAAGAAATCAATAAATGTGTCTTGGTGCTCTAGAAATCATTCTTGCTCGGCAAATAGAATGTGCTAGGTTCTTTAATTAAAATACCATACCTTAAGTACAGGTGCTTTGGGAGCTGCCCCTGCTCACCAAATATGATGGGAGTTTTTGTTATTGTTGATGATGATTTGTTTGTCTGATTGCTTTTTGTCATAACTGCTTAAGGTGGAGCTTGTCTGTATTTTAAGGATAAAGTAGATGGTTGAGTAGCCTAAGAAAACCTCGTAATAATTATTTCCTGACTCTGACTGAGGTAGAGCTTGGGGAAGGGTGGAGTCAAATAGACTGACCTGCCCTGAGTGTTGAGGCAAGAGCCCCAGTATGGCTCGGGGGAGCCTGGAAGGAACCCTTCATTCAGGTTGCTGTGTTTGATTGTGGTTCAGGTTCAGCCAAGGGATCCCGGGGGGCGCCGATGGAGTCTGGCTACTGTCAGACTACATACCCTGCTTCCCTGTGAGCACTTTCCGTGGCCTTGTGTAAAGGACCAGCTCTCCCAACTGTCTTTTGGAAGATCCACATGAAAACCATGTTTGTTGTTTCTTGTTTGTTTGTTTGAACAACGGTATAGGCTCAATTTCTAAAAGAGACTATGTAATTGTTCCAGATTTGGGTACCTTGCCTGTAGACATCTACCTGTAAATGTGACTTAAAGAAACGAACCCGGGGGCTGGAGAGATGGCTCAGAGGTTAAGAGCACTGACTGCTCTTCCAGAGGTCCTGAGTTCAATTCCCAGCAACCACATGGTGGCTCACAACCATCTGTAATGAGATCTGGTGCCCTCTTCTGGCCTGCAGTCATATATGCTGTATACATAATAAATAAATAAATCTTTTAAAAAAAAAAAAAAAAAAAAGAAACGAACCCATTGTAAGTTTAACTGAAATGCCCAGCTCACCTCTTGTGATGCAGATTTTGTTTCTGTCTCAGGAATACACACTCTGCTTGTGGCACAGCTTTCTTACAGTGGCTAGAGGAGAACATGTTGGGGTTGGTTCTCTTTCCACCTTGTGTGTGGGTCATCAGGCTTGGTGACAAGCACTTTTATCCTCTGAGCCGTCTTGCTAGCTCCTTGTTGGAAATTTAAAAAATTCAAATCAAGAGAACAGAAAGTGCATCCTCTAGACCAGTGGTTCTCAGCCTTCCTAATGCTGCGACCCTTTAATACAGTTCCTCATGTTGTAGTGACCCCAACCATACATTTTTTTTGTTGTTGCCTCGTAACTATAATTTTGCTTCTGTTATAAATCATAATGTAAATATCTGGAATGCAGGATATCTGATATTCGACCCCCGCCCCCAAAGGGGTTGAGACACACAGGTAAGAACTGCTGCTCTAGAGCCTAGGAGCTCTGCCATGTGAGCACACCCCCTCCCAATAATCCCTTGGTGTTGAGAAGTGACTTGAAGATCCAAGATTGTTGGAGCTGGAAATCCCTTGTAGAGATAGTCTGGGAAAAAAAACAAAACAAAAAAAACCCAGCACATAGTTTGGGTGTGAATGGGAAGAATTCAGTGAAATAAATACAGTTTTTAATCCTTAAGGACAGCTGCAGCCCTGTTACCAGCCTGCTCCGTGGATCAGGACTCATCATTTAAAGGTCCAGAAGGTGACTTTCAGGGGAGTGCTAGGGAGGTAGCTGGGTTTTTATTTAGGACTTGGAAGAGATGTAAAACAGAAACATTGTTACAACTGACGGAATTCCTTAGTATAGAAAAAGGTGTAAAACTGCATGTCCTACATATAGTAAGTGTGTGTGTGTGTGTGTGTGTGTGTGTATGTGTATGTGCATGTGTGTGTGTGTTTTATAATAAGTGAGTATGTCACAGACCACATGTTACAACAAAACATGGGCTCTGGGGTCTCTGTAGGTCTCTCCACCCTTTCCCTACTTCACAGAGTTAAGTCAAAGCCACAGATAAGATTGGAACTCAGGAGTACTTTGGAACTTTGATGTGGGGATGAGGAAGCTGTTATGTTCGTTTCTCTGAGCTGGCTTCCTGGGTACTGATGAGTGTTTTTTAAATGCAGGTTTCAATTCTGATTTTTTTAAAACATCTCATTTGTTTCAGTGGTTGCATTGTGAATAATTACCAGCATCTTGAGTAACTTGAAATAGTTTATGCTAAGAGGCAATGATAAATCTTATTGTAGAGTCATAGTTCTGTACCAAATACAGTTTACAAAATGGTCTTAAAATCTGAATGACCCCATTTTCCCCTTGAGTTCTTTTTTAGATCTGTGTTTCAAAAAAATGAAAAATTAAAAAAAAATGACTGCAGGAAGTACAAGTAATTTCCCAAGGACCGGCTAATTAGCTGTTAAAATCAGCTTTTCATAAATTCAGTGCAGTAGATGGCCGAGACTAGGGTTAATGGTTGTATTAGCCCTGGAGCCTCAAACAGCAGCTACAGTAGTGACACTGGGGCCCTTCTGAGGAGAACACAGAGTTCTAGCCATGGGCCTTGGGGAGGGGGCGCTGGTAGCAGCCCTTGCTCTGTGGAATGAGGCCACTTGTAGGTAAAAGGACCCTAGATTTGTTGTTGGAGGATAAGAAAGAAAACTATAATCGACTTAGGAAGAGGAGGCTTGAAGTCAAGGCCATTGGTGTGTGCTTCTCAGGGAGCGTTAGTACTGAGAGAAGGGGGAGAGCAGAAAAGAAAGCTGATGGAGAAGTGTGAGGAAAACCCTGGAGGAGAGATGATTTGGCCCCAGACTTTATCAGTGACTTCCAGAGACTTTGCTAGCTCGTCCTCTGCTTTGTTGCAGACAGGGCTCTCAATGATGAGCGTCATTCCTGGTTCCGTAGCCTCTAGCATCCTGAGAACTGTTAGTGACCTAAGACCATTGATCTAAACGAGAGCCATATGGTCCAGTTAGGCATATTTAAAACAGTGGTGGTTCTCTTACTCCTCTCCAGTTGAGCCTGGAAGCCTGTCCAGTCCTTTGTATTTGGTGAGAAAACCTTGAGGAGAAGGGGAATTAATCTGTCTGCCAGGCCGAGCAGTCTTGTAGGTGCCAGAAGTAACAAAATCCTGGCATCCATCAAGAACTCACCATTTAGCCCCGGCA